AAGAACAATTTAAATTGATTTTCAGTAACATTCATGACAATGATTGTTCCATAACCACTGTACATAAAAGTCGATACCATTTTGTTTACAGACAACCCACAGTTTAAAATAATTGCCACCGGGCATCCCATCACACACACACACACTCACATACACTCAAGTACACACACACAGCCAGCGTCACATCATCCCATAAATGCTGTGCTCCAGTGCGGCTCGATGGAAATCTTGAATGGCCAACGCCGCTAAATGTCACACGCATATAAGCGGAATTATGACAAGCATTTTAACGACTGCCACTGATATGCGCCTCTGGGCTGGGCTGGGCGAGGTGGGCGATATGGCAACGCCGGCTGCCCGTAGTCCCATAAAAAGCAACGCGAAATTGAAACCCAAACAGCGCAGACTGCGCCAAGAGCTGCTCAAATGAAAACGCGACAAACGCATGGCCGATGTACGTGAGATTGCGGCTCTGTTAATTGGCAAAAATTGGCCAAACTTTCCAAGGGGGGGTTGTGGGCCGATTGGAAGAGTGGGTCGGCCGGGCAACCTTTTAGACATGTACATAAGTATTTATGCGATAATGCGTAAATTTTAATGAAAATGCAAAAAGAAAGAAGACACAAGCAAAACATTTACTTTGCGGATCGTAAAGTATGCCAATGCCGAGCAGGAACATCCCCGACGATGCTGATGGTGCCACTGTGCTGTGCAATCGCCTGAAAGTTGATTTAATGAAGATTTCGCAAAATGGCGTAGCCGTCAAGTGTCTGACATGTGGAAATCTGGAAATTTATGTGTAGCGCACGTGCGTTGCGGTCTAGTCATGAGGCCTTGCGCCTTCCTGTCCTCCCTCCTTCCTGTGCGGCTTTAATTGAGTGTATTCAGAGCAAAAGTGAAGCCGAAGAAAAGCAATTTGAATCTGAATTATTTTTTAAGTTAATGAAATCCGTTAGACAGTATGGCATAGAATAAGGCTGCAATGGCAAGAAAATATGTATTAAAAATATTCTTTTCTGTTTAAACTGTTGCAACACAACAAAAAGTGAGTTTACTATATATTTATGAGATTTGTGAAAGTGTAAGAGCGTGTAACATATAATACAATACGCTTTTTCAGTCGCGCTAATGTATGACCATAATAACAAGTTTTTTGTTCTTAAATTAATTGTACTATTTCTGTGCTTCTGTGCCAAAACTAGAATAGCCAGTTCTCATTAGAATTATACATAATGGTCGTCAGAAGCAGGCGAATGGAATTCAGAATAGCTAATTGTCTGCGGTTGCTTAAGCTAATTTGAATGATATCGTCCTTGTGGCGATATGAGAAACAGACTACGCAATTACATGCCCAAGGCCCTGAAGTCCGTGGGGACAAAGCAACGGCCGACGGTTATGTCCTTTGCAAGCTGCAGCAGTTAAGTGGTCATCATGTGACCCCTTTTCAAAGCGATCTTATGCACATGCATTTGAATAAAAGCTGAAATGATGATCCAGTGGGCCTGTTCTACTTTAAGCGGTTCTTTGGCTGCAGCTCATTATAAGTTGATAGCTAAAATAATTTATTTCAAGCTTCATATAGTTGATTATTTTTCAAATTCGAAGTCCGTCCATAAAATTGGTAACATGGCTTATCAATTATTTTCATATTTAATTTCAGGCAACACCTCATCTGCATATCCATGAAATCACAATAAACAATGCATTGTTACAACACGGCCACACACAAGCCTCTTCGCGCCAAGATATGCCACAACAAACACCCAAAATTACAGGCAACAAACGATCCCAACAGCAAAACAAACAAACGAACAACAAACAGAGTTGCATAATTATGCAATATGGTTATGAGTTGAGCTTGGCTGGCAGGCAACCCGTGGCTTGTGGATAGTGCCGCCAATCTTTGGCGATTTAACGGCTGATTTGGCTTTTTCTCGATTGGCGCAAATCCTTTTTTAGGCAAATTAAGCGCGAAAGAAAAAAAACCAAGTTACGAACAGCGAAAAAAAATGCGCCAGACAAGGCAACACGACACAAAATTATGAACGTGATTAATTCATAGATGGTGGCGCTTAGCCATTGTTTTGGCCATGTTAAATGCACTGCACGATGCACGACGCGGGGTCTAAGACCCGAGGGGCCAACGATGTCGAGCCGGCCCCACTATTGACATCGCACCAACTGAACTCTGGCCAAAAGCTAAATATGATTATGTGCGCTCGATTTAATCTCAGTCGATTTATAAGCACCACCACCCCCTCTAAGCCAAAAGACGTCTACAGACTGCGTGTTTATTTTTTTTTTATTTTTAATTTTTTTTATTGATTTTTAAAAACGACAACGCAATAGCCCAGCAAGCCAGTCAACATATGTGACCAGTTGCTGTGGCTGCCAAGCGCATTAAAAATGAAGAGATTTTCCTTGAAAATTATTCCACAGTACATGTGTCTTTGTCTGTGTGTGTGTGTGTGTATTATTTTGGTCAAAACGACTTTGTGCTCAAAATTGGAATCCAAAACCGAATAAAAAAAGAGAGAAAAAACAACAGCGTGAGCAAGTCAGACAAACACCCACTTTTATGATACTCGCACTCGCACTTCTGGCGGCAAATAAGTAGTTGGCGGATTACGGGTAGCCACAAACAAACAGACTGATAAAGAGTCGACAACAACAACGACGACAAAAAAATTGGCTACTTAATTTGGTAATAACAATAATTACGCCTGACTGACTAAACGCTGACCAGCGCCATCATTGCCTGACCAAGACCAGCACCAGCAAAGCAAAAAAAAAAAAAAAAAACGAACGCGCCAACTTAACATTGCCGTTAAGAGTAATCAATTGACGGTTCATTGAATTCCCTGAGATTTTGCAAGCTAAGTCTACTATAAAGAAATAGTTAGCCAATATGAGCATGACTTTCACTGCGGGGCTTGCAAGTGATATTATTGGACAGTTTTTAAGTGATGAGGTTCCTAGCTAATCTGAATTGAATTAGCTTGAGTTGAAAATATGGGCAATATCTGAATTACCTAGAGTCCTGGAACCTAGAGGCGATTTTTACTCTCTTTCTAGATATCTGTAAATATCTATGATACTACCATTTAAAACAAATTATTTACTTTTATTTATTATTTTATTATTTCACTAAAAATAGTCCATACTTAATAAAAAAGGTTTAAAGATAACAAAAATAACTTCAAACTAAATTTAATTAAAAGTTACCAATTCATTTATAGAAAACTTAAAGGAAGTAAGTAAATTAAAAATGTAAAGTGCTTAAAAATAATATTTATATTTATAATATTCAAAAATAAAATAAAGGATATAATAAATCTATAATCACATATATATAAATTCATATTCTTTTATTCGTTTAATCAGCTTAGTTATCTTAGAGCATTCATCCGTCATCCAACGAGTCGTCAATGTGTTCAAGTTTTTGAGAGCCGCGCTTTTCAATTAAATCGTTTAAAGATAATCAATTAATAATTTTTAAGCTGCTGTGACAGCATTGCTTCTGCTGGTTGCTGCTGCCGACTGAGGCTGTTGTTGCTGTTTTGCGCTGGCAGCATCGCTGTTGAGTCAGCGCCACGCTCAATTAGGTGCAAGACATTTTGAGCCGGCATCGAGTTGCTGCGAAGATTTACAGTAGATTTATTGGATACTCGCTTTGGCCAGTGCGACGAGCAAGTAGTTAGCAGTGTCTGGCCTAATTGGCGACTCAGCTGGCGCTTGAAACTCGCAGCTCGAGGCTCAGCGCTTGAATATTGATACTGTTGCTTGACAGCAAAAAGTGCCTGACTCACACACATGCACATCCAGAGCAAACGAATCGAATCCAATCTGATCCAACTGCATATTGCTGCTGTCTGATATTTATCGAATTTAATTTCGTAGTTGCTCGAAGCTGACGCTGACTATTTTTGGAAAATTTTTCACATTCGAGACTCATAATTCGTGCGATAATTTACACAAAATTAGGCAAGTGTCTAGCCAGCGATCCTTTTAAAGCACTGAACCACAGCACAACAGCAAATTTAGTTGCGAAAAAAAAAAATTAATGAAAACAGAACACTCGTTGTGTTTCCCACGCCAATTAGAACTGGAGTCGTATGAGTGATATTTTCTCTGCATATCAAAATAATTGGACTGCGCTACAAAGAAAAATTCGGAAAATTGTATGATTTAAAATTCAATTTATGCCGTGCAAATTGCCCCCACAACGCTGCTCGCTAATAATATTTATCACAAAGTTGCAACAGCTCGGCAACCAGATACTAGATTTTTAATGCTGCTGCGTACAATTTGTGCTAACAAAACTTTAGCCATAAAACGTGCGTGTAAAAGCCATAAAAAGAGAAGCATTCAAAATATAATTAATGTGGGCAAGCTTATCCGGTGATGGTTTTTTTTTTTTTTTTTACTTTCGACCGCGTCCAGATTGCTCTCTAATCTGTTGCTATCGAAAAATAAGTATTTAAATGAAAAGCAGCTGAACATCGCTCAACGCTCACCGCCTACGCCCTCAGCTGCGTCTCAACAAAGAAAGCAATTAAAAGTCCAATTAGAATATCATTAAGTTGTGGCCTGGGCAGGTCAACAATTAAGAAGTGATAAACGCCAAAGGAGCTGGCAAATATAAAACACATAAATTAAAGACAAATTTTGTAAGGAACATCAAGATTAACAATGGTTTAATAATATAATCATAAATTCTCTGAAAGGAAACAATCAGGCGCGTGCCCTTAGAACGGAAACAATATAAATTAAAAGTTTTTTGATTAGAGTTGATTACTTTACTCAGCTCTAAATAAAATAGCCCCAAGTGTATTGTATTCTAAAATACATATTTTTTAGAGGTTTGAAGATGTTTTCAGCATCAAACACTGTATTTTCACTTTTTTGCAATAAAAACAGAAAATCAGGTCTTTCATTTTATTTGATTTTATTATAAGTTAACTCCGACTTTGACTATTTTTTCTTTGGCATTATTTATTTTACATTGCCTGGTCTTAGGGCTTAGTGTTTACCGTCTGGTCAATAATTATCAAATTGTGTTATTTTTCTTTTTTAATTATTCATATTTATCAAAATTTTTTGTATAACAAAATGACCACATCTTTCTATTATCCGAGCCGAGAAGTGCAGGATGAATTGTCCAGCATTGCCAAGGCGCTTGTGGCTCCCGGCAAGGGAATCATTTGCGCAGACGAATCAATCGCGACAATGGGCAAGCGTTTCCAATTGATTGGGGTGGAGAACACCGAGGAGAATCGTCGCCTGTATCGTCAGCTGCTCTTTACCACAGATCCAAAGATATCGGAGAACATATCCGGGGTAATCATGTATCACGAGACACTCTACCAGAAGACCGATGCCGGTATACCCTTTGCGGAGGTGCTGCGCAAAAGAGGCATCATTCCAGGCATGAAGGTGGACAAGAATTTTGTGCCGCTGTTTTGCTCTACGGATGAGTACACCACTCAGGGCCTGGACGACCTCCATCTGCGCTGTGCCCAATACAAAAAAGATGGCTGCGACTTTGCCAAGTGGCGTTCAGTAATTAAAATCGATAAAACGAATCCCTCCTACCAGGCCATAATGGAGAATGCCAATGTGTTGGCCCGCTTTGCCTCCATCTGTCAATCGCAGCGCATGCTGCCCATCGTGGAGCCCGAGGTGCTGGTGAACGGTGATCATGATTTGGATCGCTGCCAAAAGGTTACAGAAACCTTTTTGACCGCCGTCTTCAAGGCGCTGCACGATCACCATGTCTACCTCGAGGGTATGCTGCTCAGACCCAACATGGTGACTGCCGGACAGAGTAGCAATAAAACACATTCGTACTCTGAAATTGGTTTGGCAACCATTTTAGCCCTACGCCGTACTGTGCCACCTGCAGTGCCCGGTAAGTGCTAACGGAGGACTTAAAGTGAATGCTTCTAACTATGTGAAGATCCTGCAGGTATTCTTTTCTCATCTGGCGGCATGTCCGAGGAGGAGGCCTCTGTCAACTTGAATGCCACCAACAATGTCCCACTGTGTAAGCCCTGGGCGCTTACTTTTTCCTTTGGGCGCGCCCTGCAGGCTTCGGCGTTGCGCTCCTGGGGCGGAAAGAAGGATAATATAAACGTTGCCCAAATTGAGTTGATCAAACGAGCAAAGGTATGATTTGTATCTTAATCTTAATGTAGAATAGCAATTTCATCTGTTTTGAGTGAGTTTTGTCCACTCTTTCATAATATTAATGTAACTAAAATGTTTTCATTTCGAAACATGATTTTGAATTTTAGTATTTATTATCTTTATTAATTTTCTCTGATTTCAAATTTATTTTTTATCGACAGGCAAACAGCTTGGCTAGCATTGGCAAATATATTCCAGGCTCTACTGAAGGCTCGGCTGGAGGTGAAAAAATGATTATCGATGGAATGGAAGTGTAAGTTTCTGGGCTCATAAAATATAATGACAATGGGTGTCATCAGAAGCCGGCGATCATGTGGAAGTTACAATTTATAAGCGACATGTACATATACATACAAAATACATGTGCATTTAACAGCATCTGGTCAACTGCCCCACTGTGGCATTGATGGCAGCCACTTGGCCGCAGGCCGCATGTTCGATGCCGCCCGTCAGCGTTCAACAACTCGAAATATTGTTAACAAGCGTGCAAAAGAGCAAAGAGTAGTGCCGTCGACGGCAGCAGCAGCAGCAGCAGCAGCAGCACAACACAACACAACACGACTTCTGTTAACTGCAAAGTGTCGCATTAATCCGCGGAGATTACCAAGCGCCTGGCCACATGGCCAACACGCAGCCAGCGTCATGCGGCACTGCTGTTGCTGCACTGCAGCTTAATTAACGCAAACGCATGCCAAAAGCCAATCCGAGTCGAGTCGAGTCGAGCCAACCCGCCAATCCAAATGGCTGCTATGAGCATGTAAAGCAGCAGGCCAAGTATTCAACTTAATCAGTCGCTTCATTCTGTGTGTGTGTGTATGTGTGTGTGTGTATGTGTGTGTGTGTGTGTGGGTGTATACGTGTGTTGTTAGTAGCTTGACTCCGTACTTTTGGCTCTGACTCTGGCTTTGGCTCTGGCACTAGCTCTGGCGTCAGTGTCATGTTGCTGGCAAATTAGTCAGAGCCACATGCCCGCATTGGGGGTTGGGGCTGGGGCTGAGTCGAGCAATAATTAAAATTAAAGCACTGACTAAATTATGGACAACTTACACTTCAATTGCCTCCAGCATACACCCGCTGTTGCTGCATAGCAGACGCAGACACAGTTTTTTTTTTCATTTACTGCACATCGATTAAGAAATAAGGAACACTCAACTAATTTCAGCAACTCTCTTTATTAGCTACACATAATTTTGAAATGGAACAGTTGGATGGAATATAATATTATATAAATAAAGTATAATTTTATTATATATTTTATATAAAACTACAAAATAGTAATTATTAGTATGTTATGGCTATTAAATTATAAATATTATTATTATAAATGTTTTTTATTAAACTTTACTGGAATGTTTCTTGATTCTTATGCTCTTTATTATCAAAGGGAATGTATTCGTCGTTCAATTAATTTAACTTTCTGGCTTGTTTTCACCTGCTGTCTGCTGCCATGTGCGACAACTGAGTTCTGTGGTTAATCCAATCGCTGCGGCCCAATCAGGCCAACGTGAGCAGCATGTCATGTTAATTGCGTCGCATAAGCGTGTGTGTGTATTTATATGTGTGTGTATTTATATGTGTGCTGTCTGGGTGTGTGTATGTGTATGAGAGAGTGTAAATTGCCATTATGCTCATGTTTGCTTAATATGTAACACACACAGTCCGCTGAGCAACAAGAAGCACGCAACGCGTCAAGCCAATTAAAGCAAAATTATAGTAGCGCTTTTTAATGATATGCAGCGTTCTGTACGCCCCTCACCCCTCCCTCGCAGTAGCGAAATGGCGCACCACGGCACCACCGCACCACTCTATCAGTTTTGCGCTCATTTAACTTGGCGTTGAAGATTTATGGGCGTGCCGCCTGCTAATGTGGCAAACACAAAGCCCAATTCCAATGGACTGATCAAGCCAACAGCTCTGCTGGCGGCACGCGTTTAATGACCAAGTGGCGAGCAGATCAAAGCAAAAGTGCCGAGCTCGACCTGGTTAACGAGCTCTTGGACTGCTCTTGGCTGCTGGCCGTCAGTTTTGCGTTGTTTTTTCAAAAATGCAAACAAATCAAGCCACAAGTGGGCGTCTGGCCACGCCCTCTAACGCTTAGATTGTTGCCTGGACTAAAACGACGACATTTAATCGAAATTTCCGGCTGGATAGTGGCGCCAAAGTTTGTTATTCAGCTGCGACACAAATCACTCAGCTGTCAAACGCTTGCTGATTAATTTGGTGTTAATAAACGCTCTAGCCGCAAATCCTGTACGAGTCACAATTGCCAGTCCCAGTCCACGTCCACCAATTAATGTTTGTCCATTATTGCATTGGCCAACAGTCGCGACCAAACTGCCTGTCCCAAACTTGGACATGGAGCGTGAAAACGTTTTGCAGCAGCAGCAGCAGCTGAGGATGCACTTTGTGTTAATTGAAAGTTTGAATGACCATATAAGTGAGGTAGCCAAAAACTGACTACCGCCGACACAGACACACACACAGTGACATGAGTTCGATTTGGTTGTCTGCTGATAGCCAAAAAAAAAACAAAACAGAAAAAAAAAACATAACTTGCCGCTAGCAGCCATAAAAGGCCACACACGCGTCGCCAACTTACCTGCCTGGGAAACTGCCAAGAGCAGAAGCAACGGCAGCAGCAGTTGGAGAAGAAGCTGACTACAACGCCGCTGATTCAGAATGATGCCAACCTCGCTTTCCATTTGCCATATCATTTGCCCAAAGTAAGAGGTGTTTAAAATGCTAATTTGTACAATAGCAAATGGCAGGCCACCAAGCTGAACTCAATTCAGCTGTCGTCCGCGACGATGTTTTTTGTGTGTTTTTGTTTTTTGCTCCTTGATATAATAAAGTGCGGCAGAAGAACTTTAGTTTTCACTGTACCTGGGCCTTGTTTCGGAAGTGGGAATTAAAGTCAATGTCATTATATTATGTATACCATTATCTTAATCCCTAGAAAGCGTTTACTGCTGCACAGTTGCTGGAACCATGTCAGCCACTTTTGACCATCAGCTTTAAAAAATCGCATTTTAAGAGATGAAATTAAAGTTGTTGTGAATGGCTTTGTAAGTGGTTGATTCATTTATATTTAATCAAGAAAGTTTCCTTAAAGAAATTTTTGAGTAGCCTATGAATGTTTTATAATTTTATTATTTCAAACTAGTTTTTGAGTGTACGTAATCAAACCCCGAATTTAAGTAGCCTTACTAAAATTTTGTCAACAACTATTTAGTTAAGCAACAGTTTAAGATACTGGCATATTGTGAAAGTGGTTTATTAATGCAAACATCTTTAATCTCACATTTTTTAATATGCATAAAATAGCATTTTACAACTTGTGCCATTTTGAAATTTTTTTTTAATATGCCAACTGATGTTGGATGTATGTAAATAATTTTTGACTGCCAGCTGCTGCCATTCCATCAACGCGCTTGGTCAGCTGTCACCACAACAGCTTCCTGGCCAGGCTCCGGCACAGGCTGTGCAAAAATGTCAAAATGTCAATTCGAAAACGTTTAGGAAAAATCGTTTCGCCCACACGAACGCCTGACTGCCAGCTAAATGTTTGTTGTTTGCTTGAGAAATAAAACAAAAAACAAAAGAAAAAAATAAAAAAAAGAAAGAAAAAGCTGTGGCTATTGACTAGGCTAGGCGACAGTCGCGTCGCAGTCCACCAGGCAGTCGCTCACTTAGTTTCTTGTTGAGGGAGGTGGATAGGAGTGGTGGGGGGTAAGGTGGAGAGGTGGAAAGGCATCATAATCCCGGTTTGTTTGGTCAGGTGTAAGCTCGTTTGTCAGTCACTCGTTACATTCGCTTACTTTTCCTTTATGCAAATGCCAATGAATTTCCACTTTTTTTTTTTTAACTTTTATTGTGTAAACAAATTGTGCAATGCGACGAAAGTGGGGCACAGCATTGGCAGATAGGCTTTAATAACTGACAGATCTCATATCCACAGAGCTGAGCTGTAATGTGAGTTGAGCTGCAGCTGTCAGTGGGAAGACCTCACCAGTAGCGTTCGCTTGACAATCGCACGACATTTCTGACAAATGCTGTTGACAAAAACTTCTTTTTTTTATCCAAAATGTATTTTCTGGCTGACAAGACGCTTAAGCGTTGTGTGCATAAGCAAAGCATGTTGACAGGCCAAGGAACCACGCCGACATGTTGCAATTTTATGCAATTTTTGCAGCAGCATTGTGTGTGCAGTAGCAAAGCTAGTCCCCTGCAACAGCATATAAAAGGTATGAAAAAATCAACCAAAAAATAAAATAAATTATTGTGGCGCAGCTATAAGACAAATTCAATGAGATATTTGCAATTTAAATAATGTTATCTGGCATTTTGTAATGTAAATTTTGTGGCTTAAGATCAAATATTTTGGACAGCTGCCGCAGTTGCATCACAGCTCGTAAAGGGGTGGGGCTTGCATAATTACCAAGGCGATGAAGCGAATATAAACTTATTTCCCATACTTAGTTAGGCAAACCAAATCAAATGGATATGTGAAAAAGAGATATTGGTTCAAAAACAAAAGATTACATTGTAAAGTATATGTGTACATTGCAATAACTATCCCGAATCGAGTATGAAATAAAAGATCACATGCAAAATGTTGGAAATTAAAATGTAAATAAAATAAAAGTCGCACGCACACAGAAATGAAATGGGGGAGCTGGCATAAAGCGCGTATATTCATTTACACACACACACACAGATACACATACAGATACAGACATCCACAGCAAATAAATTCAATTTACAATGAAAAATGGCAGCGATGATGAAGATGGCGACATGGCCAGGCACCAAGCAGCCGGCAAACAGGTGCTGGAAAAACTTTATTAACATTTTTCGCATGCTGCACGTGCAGCACTGACAACGTGGGCCGCGTATTTTGTGCTTTTTAATGAAGTTTCATAAATTGTGAGAATCGAACGTTAATCAAATAAGGTGCGAGAGAAATCAAAAGCCTTGTCCCAGGCGCCATAAATGGTCGCCGCGAAGCGACAAACTGCAGACGCTGTCGTCGCAATTGGCCGACAGAATCTGTCAATAAATCAATTAGTGTTATATAAATTAAAATCGACAAAAAAATAAATAACTTAAATAGGATATAAAAAAGTAGTCTAGAGAGGGCGCTCAGTATGAAATTGTGATGTTTCTATTTCTGCGGCTTTAATTAATTGCAACTAATTTATGTTGGCCTGTCAAAAATCGTGGCCTACGGGCACAATTAGCCAAATGACAAAACCAACACGACAGTAAGACCCATAACTCATGCCACTGCCACACATCGCGTACGTCAAAGGCTGCTCGCACAGTGGCTGCTGTCAGTTGTGCAGCAGTGTACATTTCTGCCCCATCGCCCATAAATTCAACGCTTCCTTAACCACTTCCAGAGTTTGCATAGCAACGGCACCATGTGCAATCGGGCGTATACAAAATACTTGCAAATAACCCAATTCAAAATGTAATCTCAAATCATATTTAAAGGTTCTTCGATAACACTGTCCAACATTATATTATAAAAGTATTAGCATTCAACGTTAGTCCAAAAATGTACGAAAAATAATATTTCTTAAGAAAGTTGTGCATTTTCTTAAATATTTTTCTGTTATTTGTCTTAGCATTTTCGATTATCTCTTTTAATCTTCCTAGGTGTGTATAAAAAGCGGCCCGGTGACTAGTGTAATTTCGTTAGTTGACCTTCTTAAATTGTTTTCTTTGCCAAATAAATTTGACATTTGACTAATGCGCCGTATTAGTTCTTCCAAAAATTTCTTTACTTAGCTTTGCAGTTGTCGTTTCTCTCACGGTATACATTCCTGAGAAGGAACTGCAGGAAGGAGTTGCTCGGGTTAGGGGACTGAATGTCTGCATGCCAAATTTATGTTGCCCGCAAACCCGTGCACAAGTTTTTGAGTTTTATCTGCTCAAAATTTGTCACAGCAAATAAAAAGTTTTGCCTTTTTCATTTTGCGCTCCGATGTTTCCCTCGTTGCACTTGTTTTTTTTTTTTTTTTTTTTTTTTGTACTATTTGCTTTTAATCCGCAGAGCAAGAAATAAAGATAAAACTTAAGCCAAAATAAGTTTCTATAAAACTGTGCAAAAAAACGAGTGGCAAGCAACCGTCGAAGGACGCAGGATGAAAGACTAAGGGCCAACAACAAATTTTGAAGTGGAGCAAAATTGCAGAAATAATGAAATACCAGCAATGCAATTAAAAGGTAGCAGCTGCTGATTTGCTGGATTAAGGTACTACACAGATACACACAAACACACACACACACACACACATAGCCAGATACAAGGGCAAGAGGTGCATTGTCGCGCTGACTGTCGAGATAACATTGGGGCGAGCCAACGCGTAAAAACTTCAAGTGGCCAAGGACTACAAAAAAAAAAAAAAACATTGTCAAATTGCGTTAACGTTAACGTCAAGCACTTACAGAGTTACATAATTGCTTGGCCAATGCGCATTTGGGTTGCAGAAAATTTTTGGTTGCAAGAAAAGCTATAACGGAAGAAAACTACATAAATAATGCAAAAGAATTTTGAGAAACTATGAAAATAACACAATAAAATTGTAGTCTTAGAAGATGTGATGAACTGAGGGTTGACTACACTGTTAAAACTCTCCTTTTTGCAACAGTCTGGCAGCCACAAATGTCAAAAAATGGAAAATGCTGGGGGAATTCTCATGGTATATCATCTGACTTAAGCTAAAGTTATTTTACCTGCGTGTTACCAAAATGCTGATTAAAATACAGCGCCCAAGTGGCTTAAATTATACATTTTACACTTAGCCCAGGTTGTGCTTAATAATTCAATATTCATCAACGTCAGCCACTAACAAAGCGTCCATTTAGCTGAAAATTCCACGACGGTCGACGGGAAATATTGGCAACCAAAACTTTCGAACTCACAGACAAAATACACACACACACACACATGCACACACATAACACACACATCAGTGCAGATTAAGATACATCGTTTTTGCATTCATGGAACACATGTTCGCTCCGGATTTAGCTGTCGTTCTTGAACGAAGTTTTGCCACTGCTTCGCCCGTTGCACTTCACATTAAAGGTATTTACGATAGATGGGCGTGACAGGAAGGCTAAAATGAAAATGAGACACAGACAGAGACAGAGACAGAGACAGAGAGACAAAACCGGCAAGAGTGTCAAGTAGATATGTGAAATTTCACATAACTTATATTGTCTCTGTTGAAGTTTTTGTTTTTACTCAAGCGGCAAAATTATAATATAATTTTAACCACTACTCTAGCAAATAACTCAAATTAAAGTTTTTGTGCCTGTGGGGCAGGAGCAAACAGTCACACACACACACATGCATGCAGAGCAAAGTTGCCATCTTGTTTTTTTGGGTTTTGAAACTGTTAAATGCACGCTCAAAACAAGCAGGCAAACATCTCTGTCACCCAAAACCAGGGATGCTGCAATTTATTAAAATAACACCAGAAAAGAGCGAATATGTTGAAAAAAAAACACAAATATTTGTTAAAAATAAATTTAGATAGATTGAAATATTGAATAAATACAACTTTTTTTCAAATAAATAATATATTTTTCGAGGGCGTAAATTTGATGATTAAAATATGCATGTTATTACAAATTACATAAAGGAATATTTTCAAACGTAAACTGAATTTATATTCAACCAATACAAATATTGAGCTTACTGTAATTAAAGACAAATCCTAAGACTTATCATTGAGAGAGAAACCCCATTAATGGAAATGTAAAGCATGATTATAATGCTGAATGTTTTCAGGGTGCATTTAAGCAATTGCAAAGAAGCTTGCAACGTCAGCATCAATAAAGTTTGACGCCAGGCGAAACACTGAATGAGCCGAGGAAGCAGCCGCAACAACAAAACCCAGTAGAACACAAACAGAAATTATAACCACACTTTCGTTTTTTGCAGCCGGCCGCAGGACAAAGCCGAGCCCGATAAGAGCACACCAATGCAACATTCTTGAAATGCGGCCAACAACAAAACGAACAATAACAGCCAAGAAAAGGAAAGAGACGGAGACAGAGAGAGAGAGAGAGAAACAAAGAGGAGGAGCGCACTATGGGCCATAAACTTGCGACAACGTCTTTTAAAAGTTTTGGCCAGCAGGCGTTGGTTCTAGTGTTGCTGTTGGCTATCAGTTGGCCAGAACTTTACTGCTTACGTTCGTCATATTTACGCGTGAGTTGCATTGCTGCACGGCAGGGAAAAGAGTAGGAAGTGAACAGGGTAGAGGCAACAGGGAATGAGAAGCAAAGAGTCGGCTGCTATCTCGGCCAGGGCACATGAAAACATGCGGCTATTGAGGCAACTGCAGCCTTTCTGACAGTTGGCTGGTGGCAACGCCGTTGCACGTTGCCGGCTGAGGATGAAGACATGGACGAGGCAGTGGTGTGGCAGCCACTTGTGACAGTTTTAAATTGTCCAACAAGCCACCATGGACAGCGCCGCAACAACTGACTGATAAATGTCGCTGCCCAGGCAGCAAATAGCACTGCTGAAAACATTTCCTTATTTCCTGCTTGCCTGCCTGCCAGCCAACATGGCAAGGAAAACTTTTAGGCCAAAAGGAAACCCCGAGCGACGGAAGCATTCGAGAACCATTTTTATGCAAGTCATAGAAATTTACAACCCCCGGTGACAAGAATGGTATTTTATGGTGTCAGCAATAGCTCGAACTGGATTTTAGCTGTTTTTCTGGCTAGAAAACTACATTTGAATTAAATAAATATGGGTGGATTTGTTATAGTACCTTCAAAATAATTCAGTTCAAACCTGATTTCAATCTAAACTTAACACAGTATTATTTGATTCCACGAGACTGAATATGTAATTTTATAGCCGTCTCAAAAATTCTTTATTTATTATAATTACTGTGGATTTTAATGAACAAGAAACGAACAAAGCTATTTGGCAACCTTGTTGCCATTGCCCCGATAATATTAATAGCAAGCAATTGAGTCAGTATCGGTATCAGCAAAGTATCGATATCTGATCGCGGTGGATGAAAGTCGCATTAAGCATAAGTTCAACTTCATTATCAATAAACTCAAACATACCAATTTATACTATTATGTTAGTCTAATAACTTTAAAATAGGTATTATCCGTTTTTATTTATCTCAAAGAAAAAAGGCTGAATGTTTTATTTGAGTTGTTTTTTAAGTTTAGTGTCAGCACTGACGAGCTGGGGTGGAATTTTGTTTGGGTAAACTTTTGTAACATTGGCATATGCAATTGGGTTTGCTGCACATCCTGTCGACAGCTTGGACTTGCAAACTTTTTCTACTACTGTTGCTGTTAAATGTTGCAGGCACTTTTTAGGCATTTACAGTGGCTGAAGAAGAATGGGGCAAAGTTTTTAATGAATTTTATAGCAGCCGCCGAACCAGTGAACTGATCACAAATCAACTTTAGCTGAGACTAAGCTCAAGCAAAAGCTCTGAGGCGTTCGATTACGTAAGTTAAAGCGTTTAAATTGCACGATGATAAGCGGGGCCAGAGTGCAGGAAGCTAATCACGCTAATCACGTCAGACTGCTAGACTGTCAGACGGGCGGACGGGCAGACGGACGGACAAAGAGGCAAACCGCTTTGACTTTGATGCGCTGTCAACACTGTGATTGTTGTTGTTGTTGTTGTTGTTGTTGTTGTTGTTGTTGTTGTTGTTGCTCGTGGTGCTGGTGTCGCTGATGGTGTCGCTGCTGGTGTCGCTGTTGATGTTGGTCTTGGTCTCCGTTAGGTCATTAAATGCAGCACATTAAAGCCGCAGGAGCTGATGTCGACGTCAAATGTTGTCTGACAAGCGTTGAGTCAATTACATGGTAATAAACTAATGGCCAATGTCTATCCGTCCGTCAGTCTGTCTGTTGGCCTGGACATCAGCATCAGCAACAGCAGCAACAGCAGCAACAGCAGCAGCAGCCTCATGGCATGTTCGTTAATTTGCTGCAATTGTTGAACTTTTGGGCAGAAACATGCGCCCACCAAAATCAAAATAATTGGCTCAACGACATGAGCTTTGTTATTCACTGCAGACGTGCTTGTTTAGTCGTATTCCCATATCTGATTTTTCTTATATATACGCCTCTGACTTAAAGCAAAGTCTATTCAATATTCGCATTGCCAAATATAATGTTTTTTTTTTTATTTCTTGAAATGTTTGCTTTAGTGGCTTATCTGTGCACAGGCAACACAAATTTCATTGAGAGTAGAAATAACTGAATGAAAGTGTTTTAATAAGCACAAAAGTTTTAATAAACACAATATGTATGAAAATCTGAATAATATGTATGCATTTAACAGAGAAGGCTTAGGCATGCACGCACTTGTTGATGTTCAGCTGATAGTTGGAGCCGGGCGGACAGGTGCCATGAACGGGTCGCACTTGAACGCATTGATTCTTCTCGGCATTGAAGCCAGTGGGGCAGCTGGAGCCCCAGGCGGCGCCGAGCACAGCCATCAGCAGCAGCACGAGCCAAGCACATTTGCAGTTCATAATTTAGCTGGGAGTTACCTGTTGTCTGTGTGGGAGAAGCAATTGCAGTTTTTCAAACACCCTACCAAGTGCCGAGTGCTGTTCTCACCTGTAGCTAATGTAATATGCAACTATTTATTGCTCAATATGCAGCTGGGCGCTTTTATAGAGAATTACCAGCGACTTATCAGCGACACATGTTTACAAAGTTCACCCATTTGAGACTGACAACAGATTAGATCATCTGTGGCTCTCATAAGGTCAGCTGTTTATTGGGTTAATGGCACGCAAATTGATAATGAAATGTACACAACGTAAAGCAATTCAGCCATTAGACAAATCAAAACACACTTTGAATATATTTCAGTTACATTTTATTCAACTCTGCTCGACTCTTATCCACCAAAGACACAAGCGTTCACGTTAATCTTATAGGTGGAGCCGCTGGGGCATTCGCCGCGAATTGTGCGCTGAGCGGTGCAAAGGCCCTTCTCGCTCTTGAAGGGGGAGGGGCATGTGCTAGCCGAAACAAGGGCAGCAATCATTGCGAAGACAAAGATGCCAAACCACGAGAAGTTCATTTTGCAATTAGCTGCAAGTATTCAATACATAGTAAATTAAATATTTCATGTTATCATCGAGCTGTATTATTTATGAATTTCTAAAATATATTTTTCGCTTATCTCCGTAAAACAAATGTGTATACAAAATAACGTAAACAAAATAATAAAATGTTCAATTATAAAGACGAATGGAAAATTCAAATGTTGACCTAGCTAACTGGAATACACATATAAAATACTAATACATTAATAAATTAACATTAAATATTGTTTTTAATCAAAAGCTGAGAATGCATTCCATTTTACAAATATGTTACATAACTTGAACAATGTAAATTTTTTATTCCAAATAGGGACTACGAATCTACTACCAAAATATCTTGTTACTTAAACAAATATGTTGATGAATAAAGCACTCAAATAAACACAGACAAAGACACAACTAAAGTTACTTCTGTTAATTTTTTAATACAGTTCAACGGCCTTTTTAATTTAAGTTCCTTTGACACCTGTCTGTATCAGTTTGAGTTCTTTTCAGTTATTGTGCCACTTACTGCTTGTCGCTGCTTGAGAATAGTAGAAACTAATTTTTTTGGACTGCTGCCGGCCTCTTTTATAGGCAGCTGGACGTCGAAACCTTATCACGTGACTCGAACCTTTGACACAATCAGCCTCACTTAAGCGACAATTGATAATGGTTGTGAAAAACCCAAGCCAAAAACTGAAACGAAGGTTTGACACATGTGAAATGTTGCAACAATGTGATGCATGTTGGCAACAATTGCGGCATGAACAAAAGTTCATTTGCATGGCCTCGATGGTGGTCTTTTCAGCGCCGAGGTAGGCGTCAAAATCGGCGAAATCTGAACCAGAAATTCCAGCGAGCGGAACCAAATTGTCAAAGGTAAACGGCACAGGTGAAACCCAGGACGCCACATTGTGTCCAGGCGAAACAATGGACAGCTCGTGAGGGGTGTGCTGCAAGGCAGGCGCCTCTTGAGCCCGGTGGGCTGTCACTGCCATATTGGACAATGGACATGTGCCTCCGCAGATCTCGACCCGTTGCTCGCTGGTCACCGCTCTCCGTTGAATGCTGCCCCCAATGAATGCATATGTCATTCAAATACAATTACATGCAGAGGCATTCACTCGGACAGCAAGAAACGGCTCAAAGCGAACGTACGAGCTATGAATTCATTTTCACTACTTTTAATACCCTGCTAAATAGCCAGAGAGTAGATGTACTCAAAATGTTTATACTTATAGAATTGGTTATGATTAATAATTAATCAAGAGACTATTATCAGTTTGCCAACATTTAATGGCATATCTTGGCAGAGAGCAATCTCACTAGCTTTTCATATATACAAATGTGAGTTATGATACATCTAAAGGGTATCTCCTAGTTAAGGTAGCACTGCGCACAGATTTTTTTCGGCAGCTGCGCATAAATCAAATGCTAACGATCCATAAAGTTTCATTGTCGGTTGCCATTTGAAGTGGCATACGGGTGAGTTCAATATTTGTATGTTATAGTTTGATTTTGATGTACGACAAACAGTTCGCTCTCTATCTCTCTCTTGCTACCTCTCAGTCTCTCTCTTTCTCTCCATTTAAGCAGTTGTAGGGTGGCCACTCGAACTGTGCGTCATAATTCACTCAACACTTGGCCAACATTCAATAGTCGGTAAATGGTTGCGTGTCGGTACATTGGACAACAATGTGGATACAGAGGCAACTTCAACAATTTTGGACTCTGGTCGGGTCTGTTCTGGTCTGGTTTGCTCGGGTCCGGTCTTGTCTGGTCTGGTCATGCCTTGGCTTTGAATTATTGATGGGCGTATTAAGAAGATTAATGTGATGAGCCATGGCACAGAGTTTTGTCGACGACGACGACGACGACAACAACGCTGTCGTTGTCGTTGCTCATGTTAATGTCTTCATTGTCGGCTTTAAGCTTTACCTTTACCGTTAGCTGTTGGCTGTTAGCTGGCACCTTTACTCTTTCTCGTTGTGGTGTGTGTGTGTGTCGGTGTAGTATTTTTGGATCGCTCCAATTGAACGCCATGCAGCCAATAACAGCAACAACTACAGCTAGTAGGGCCATAACGTTCATCAACGTTGCCATTTGAGGGTCAGGTCGATTGGTCATTTGGTCGCCTCGCACCGCAGCGTCTCCGCTCCCCTCTAAAAGCGCTGCCATTTCGATTCATTCGTTTTGTTCCGTAGCGCGTCCATAAGCCATTTTTCTTCCTGATGCACATAAGTTTTAAGCTTTGTGTAATTTATTTTTATAGCCATGTAGTCGACGTAAAGATTGCAAATATGTAGTTGGCGTTTTCTATCCTATATACTATACAAGAAAAGCAAAAATAAACCGTGTCGTTAGTTGCAAATCAAATGCTTAGCAATGGAGTGGGTGCCTTTTCTAGCTCCTTTTCTAGCTACCCGATTCAATTCTCCCTATGCACAATGAGTGTGGTGGTGTATGGGTGACTGTGCAGGGGATTGCATGACTATTAACTGTGAATTTGCTATTCTGCCACAACACCTACAGGACAATCAATGGAGTTGCCTAAGAACCAAGGCAAATGTTAAACAAAGAAGCTCATTTATAATTTAAGAATATAAACAGCAGCAGGGCTTTCATGCCAGTCAAAGCAAGTAGTAATATGTAATTTGCTTGGACTTCAACTAATCAGATTTCTAAGAAGCTGGAAGAAGCAAATAAGCAGGTGTAGGTAAAGCAAGCAGAAGCAATTGCAAATAGAGCAGGGAGAGAAACGAGAAAATGTTGGATTTTTATTTTTGTTTAATATTGTAACTTTATTTTGCCCACTATCTTTGAATCATTTCAAAATGATTCGCGATTTACTTAACAGTAGCTTTGGCCACTCTTGTCTCGCTTTGCTAATCAATAAATATGCCTCAACTTTTAGCGAACTTCTCACTTTTTCCTCTTTACTCTCTCATTTCTGTTTAATTCTTATTTACCTTTCCTTTCATCAGTTAATTTCTTCATTGCTACTTTCTTAAGCAGCTTCCCGCATTACTTTACACTTTTAATTACAATTTTTTATTTAAGATCTGAATTAGGTTCTCCTTGCTGCTTAGTATGCCTTTGAGTAACTCTGTCGCATATTTACATATTTTTATTTGTTCTTCCTTAGAGTATATCGCTTAGGCCACCTTGAATTCTACTCTGTTAAACGCTTCGCTTAATTGATATGAATCTTGGAATTTCTTTTTCGTTCCACTTTATTTTCCATTTGCCCGGATTCATAATTCAAGCTTGTTGCCCTTGTTGTCAATGAATGCCGTTGTAATTATTATTGATTGCAGATTGAAATCCTTGTTGCACCCCGCAGCAAGCCACAAAGCCAAACAATTTTGTGCCATTGGTGCATTTCTCATTACGTTGCTTATACTGCGGCTGATGTCAGCCACAGACATTGACTTTGGTGAAACTGTGCGGCCGGACGCGAACCTGGGAGCTATCAGTAATACAGTTATACACAGCCAAAGCCATGGCCACAGCAATACCCAGCTGGGCATCGTGGGGCTAAAAACCAAAGCTAAAACCGAAGCGAAATGCTGTTTTTATTGCTGCCGCAATGTTTTAACTTTTGTGCCACCGCCAACCAACCAACTGTCGCGTTGCATGTTGCCGCTATTACTGCAGCATTTAACCACTCAGGCAGCCGAGCGATCACCCGCCTCGCTTACCACCACAGAGTTGGGCACGGTGGGGCAATGGGACAGGCACACAGCCAGGCCAAAACGTGCTGAGTTTTCGTAATTAGTGCGACGGAGTGCAGCTTGGCCACGTACTAGACATGGGCATGGCAGGGCGGTTGGGAGGCGTGCATAAGGTCCTCTACATTGGCAAAGAAGCTGACAGAAATGTCTCCTCACCCCCCCTCTATGCCACAGCTCCCCGCATCAACCAACCCCTATCCACTTGGATGACTGGCAACTGCACGCTTATGTCGCTAAGCTACTACTTTGAGCCTATTCAGTGTGATGTGACAGTGTGTGTGTGTGTGTGTGTGTGTGTGTGTGTGTGTGTGTGTGTGTGTGTGTGTGTGTGTGTGTGTGTGTGTGTGTGTGTTTCTGTGTTGCTGAGTGTAAGTGTATTCTCTGCAGCTCGTTTGTTGACTTAAGTAAGTTGTTAGTTGCGTCGCGTATGACACACAAGTTGTCGCCTTTAAGCAGCTCCTTTGAGTACTTGTTGCCAATATTAAACTTAGCCACATAACTCTGAGCTACCAAGTTTATTTGTGTGTGTGAGTGAGAGCTACTTAAGCATTGTAGAAACATAACCAAGCTGATTCATTTTTCTCTATTGAGTGCTCAGCTTAAATGTGGTTACCACATATTTAAATTACTTATGGCAGATGCAGCAATCATAATTCATGCATAAGTCTAGAGCTAAGGTCTCAAGGTTTTTTAAATATAACATATTGTGTATATATATTAAAAAAATATATATAAGTAAATATATATATTTTAAAAGAATATGCTTCGCAAATATAGAAAATTAATATACAGCGGATAATTACAAGTAATTAATCATGTGTAAAACTTTTATTTGGCTAATTAGTTTTCAATATAAAAAAAAAAGTATTTTGAAATACAAGTCGAAGGTCATAGCCAATCTCTGAGATAAAAAATGCATTAAACTAGCCAAAAACTGCTTATGGCTTTGTGTATAATGTTCTAGCCGAATGCTAACGAGATTGGCAGCGAACAGCTTTCAGCCTTCAGCTGGCACGGCCTTAATTTTACTGATTATGGCAGCAGCAGCAATGGCAAACTTTTGGCCATTAAAAGGATTCGTTTTAATGAGTTTGGCAGAACAGAACAGAACAGAACAGGCGGGCAACAAGGTCTCTCAGCCACGAAACTGTCGCCCACTTTATCGATGCCTGTGCAAAAACTGTCGCTGTATATCTTTTTTTTGGCAGCCAAAAACTAAAACAAAAGAGGAAGAAGAAGACGCAAAAGAAACAAAAACGGCAGAAAAAAAAAACA